GTGCCCCCCCGGGTCCCCGCCCCCCCCCCCCCCCCCAGGCCTAGCATCTAGCCCCCATTACACACACACACTGTAGTCTGGGATCCAGGCCCTGCCCCTCAAACACAGGCCGAGTCTGGGATCTCACACACATGCCCTCTCCCCGCCTCCCCACCCTATCTAGCCCCCAATTCACACACACAGGCCCCCCCACCCCCAGTCTGGGATCCAGACCCTGCCCTGAAAACACACAGAGCCTGGGATCCAGCCTCCATCTCACTCTCTCAATCCATGCCCACTCACACACATGGCCTGCGACACCCCCCATCTTTGAGATCCAGGCCCTGGTCTGAAGGAGTGCGATCCACCAAAGCGGACACCCCCCCCAAGCTTCATTGCCCTGGGGCAGTGGGATGCAGCAAGACTGCCTACCTCCGCTCTGCTTCATTCCTAGGGAAGGAGCACAGGGGAGTTAACATCCCTGTTTCACTCCCTTCCCCCTTGTCCAGGCTGTTCTCATCCTCCCTAGAGGCATCTTTGCAACCTTGCTACAGGAGCCTAAGAGTGATGTTGTAGACATGACAGTCCATGGTCCAGAAGTGATGCCAGAGGGGAGGATCTCTTGGGGCAGTCTCTTATTGCGGTGGTTCCCAACCTTTTTAGACCACAGACCAGCAAACTGCAGACCAGCATACCGCAGACACTGGCAGCCAACCCTTTTTTTATACTCAGTATAAAAAAGGGTTGTCTGCAGTATGCTGATCTGTTCTGGACTTCCAGTCCAGCAGCCAACCCTTTGCAGCTAGGTACCAGGCTGTAGCGCAGGGGTTAGGGACGTCTGTCTTATTGGACCAGTCGTGTAGTAGGGATAAGGTTCCCTTCCAGCCCCGCAGTTTTTGGCTGGTTCCCATCCACTTGGCCGTAAAGCCTCTGTTGGTTCAGATGGATGCTTAATGGCAGGCTCCAGCATTGCCCAAACTTGTGGGTGGATGTTTCTTTGAAATATGGTGCCTTGAATTTTAATGAAGCTGTATACTGAAAGTAAGGGAGGGGGAGAAGTAAATGTGACCAACTGAAAGCTGCAGGAACATTCACAGGAGGGTCGGTTTGCAGCATTTGGGTCTCTATATAGGAACAGTAAACAGGAGCCAGCCTGGTACAGTTTTTCTTGGCCCACAAGCCCAGGTATCACCTGAACGGCCAATCGTGGTGAACAGCTCAGCAGTGCTAGAATTAGATAGTAAAATCTCTGCATCAAATGAATTGCTAAACATCCTATTACTTCAAATCCGTGTTTCAGTATATCACTGAAGTAGACTTATATTTAATGGACAGACTTCTAGCCCTTACCGTGAACCCTGCGGAGTTCCTGCGGAGTTGGTCATTTGCTTCCTCAATACCAAAGCAGAAAAATAGTTGGCTAACCCTATTTCAATTTTAGTAATTTAGGTCTCTGTTAATTTTGATTTAGGTTTTGCAGAAAATGTTTCCTGACAGCTATCAGAGAAAGTGGAACGCATTGTCCTCTCTGCCGGGGAAGTGTGACTAAGAAAGAAAGATCATATCCCCAAAGGGCCCTAGATGTTGAAAACAACATGAAGAAGTTTTCTGGAAGCTGTAAATGCTGTGAAAAACAGGTGGAGTATACTTGTAACAAGCAACTATTGTAAGGAACTAAAATTTTCCTTACCTGGGGTTTCATTTTGCATGTTGCTATGCATCATCAGTGTTCGGTTGTTTTGCTCGAGCACCATCAGCGTTGAGCCACAAGTGAGGCATAAGTGCATATGATAAGCAGAATTTGGTCCTTAATTAAAAATATGAATGTTGATATTGGGATAACGTAGAAAGCGAAACAAGTTCTTTTTCAAGGGATTAATTGTAATTGTCTCATTTTTGGTGATGTGCCAAAATTATAGTGCTTCATAAAATTAAATTGTTAGCAAATTCCTAAAAAGAGTTTTAAAACATGGTTCTGCCATGTTATTTAATGTTTGCTTTCTTTTTGGTAGAGCATTAATTTCCAAAACACTGTACATGAAATCCTAGCCCCATTGAAGTCAAAAGGCATCTTGCTGTTGATCTTCAGTGGACCTGGAAGATTGCTTCATAAGTTTTGTTTATGTAACATCTACCTTAATTCAGATTGGAGCTTAATTGTCTGAATGCAGCTATCGTGTCTGAAAAAAATTTTGTTGCTCTCAGTTTCATTAAGATCCACTAAACAATACAAGTGGGTAGGCTAGAAGGAATAAAGCCCCCAGGTCCACAAAATGACTTCAGGCCTGGACACAGCATGTTAACACTGGTGTAATTTACTTCAGTCTTATACTACAATGAGAACTGCACTGGGATCCGGGGTGGCTGGATGACCAGTTATCCCAGGGAAGCTGCTACAGTAGTCACTATGACACTGTCTTTCACCACTCTCTCTCACCTATTAGGGGCAAAGTAATAACCTAATAGGTTTCCTTGGACACCTACACCAGTGTAATTTGCACCCAGGGAACACTACACCTGAGTCTAATGTACCTCATGTTCCTCCTCCTTGTTTACACCAGCATAGAGGCATTTTGTGTACAAGCTCAGTGCTTAAAAGGAAACTTGAAAAAAATGTAGGTGCAAGAATACATACAATCTTCAGAACCCTTCCCCTGACCCATTAGGTGCCTGTGTTTTTGGCAGGAATGTTCCCATGATACCTAAAGTTGTACTTCTGTATATGCTCTGACTTGCTCCCATCTTGGCAGGGCTGAACAGCCTCTCAGCCTAATTGGGATCCTCGTATTAGGCATTTATATGAAGCACCCAGTTTGATAGGCGTGCTCTGAGCACACCTAACAAACTAACATGTGTCGTGAATCAGAGCAGCCACCGGCAGCCGCCTGAGTCACACACTGGAGTGTTTAGATTTAGAGCTCAGCAGGCAGGTAATTGATGGATGGAGTGGAATTAACCAGGCACAGACACGTGTAGGTTACAGGAGTTTGTTTACTTACGTCGCCTAGACGCAGGCGAGCCTTTGTTCCGTTACAGCTTCGGTTACAGAGTTGAGTATACGCATATAACTTCGGTTACAGAGTTGAGTACATGCACGCAGTCAGGTTACAACGGGATAATGACGGACATGGTGCTGGAACAAACGGTCGAGCTTGCAAGACTTTCTACGTCAATATTTTACGCTGACGGGGTGATTGATTGGGAATTGATCAATTTCCCAATTCTCTGGTGACAAGCACAGGTGTTTCCTGTGAGATCCCCAGAGCTCTCCGACTTGGGTGGAAACCATTAAACTATTTATAGGCAGAGGTGTTTTACAGGGATACCCAATGGTGAACCGTTATATGGAATCTTTAATTTTTGGCAGGTGGCAGCTCTTTGTCTCCTCAAGTTACAAGGTAGTGGGTTAGGTTTCTGTACCTGTTACATGTGTGCTACGTGTGAGGAGCTTACGCTTATTTTTGGACCAATTATATATAGTTTCCCCTAGCATTTTATTTCAGCTGACCAATTATCTATAGTACTCCGGCCGCGTTTTGTTTCAAGGAATTTTTGGCAGGGATGTCTTTTAACCCTTAATCATCAAAATGAGGATGATTTGAATGGTATCTCTTGCTCAGTGGCATGGGCACAATTTAATTGGGTTGTGACAACATGATTTGAGTTCTCCACAAAGCACAGTGGCAATGCCTACAGAGAAGGTAGGGGTGGTGCTCCCATTTGAACAACAGCTGAGTACTTGGAGTATTTACCTGGAGTGTAGAGGATGTAGGGCCTACATCTTCCTCAAGCTGATGGGGATTCAAAATCAGATTTCTCACCTACTGGGAGAGCACACTAAACACCTGGTTGTAGTATGCCCCTATGTCATAATACTGCTGTTAAAGGTAAAAATTCAAGGTTCATTGGGTGAAAAAAAACACACTTAACCTGGGACAGGGGAGACCATTGCTCAATAAGAAACTCTTCTTGTGCGAATTATTTTCCTTATCAGATTTTTTTTTTCCCAGATTATACTGTAAAATCTAAATAGTTTGAAATTTTACTTGCAGGTTAGATATTCTCGCATGAGACAACATTATAAAACATGTAAGAAATATCAGGAAGAATATGGTGATTCTTGTACTGTTCCAAGCTTAAAGATTTACCAAGAGTCAACGGGGAACAGGTAATCAGTATCTCTCATGCATGACAGCAAATATCTTTTCCATAATGGGGAAATAGTGTTTCAGGACGTTTCCTTTTTGTAAACAACCTTGTCCAAGTTCTTATTTTTTCAAAATTGGAAACTTTTTCCAGTCTAGAGAGCGACTTATATATCTTCCTTATTCTGGGCATATAGAAAACTTTTACCACATTTCCACACATTACATGGCACGGAACTATTTTCAGAAACATTCTCTAGTGTCTCCCACTATTTTCTTTCCTTAACAGCTTACCTCAACTTTCTTTCCTTTATGGCTTACCTCAACTTTGTTTCCTATACTTGCTTTGTAGCAGGTTTCATTGCACTTAGAAGTCTTTCTTCCCCTTTTTCCCCATTTCTCTTTTGTCCTAATTTTACTGTTGTATGAATGAAGGTTGTCTGCTTAGCCCATTCCTGTTTAAAAATATTGTTGTTCAGTTTTTTTGCCTTCTGATTTTACCTGGTTTTAGTGTGATCTGTAAAAGGTGTAAGACTGGAATCCTCATTGTTTTATAAACTATAAAATTAGCTGTCACTTGCCCAATTACTGTTGCAAACAGCACTAATATTTTTCTTGCTTTATCTGCTCACCATTACATCTCTTGTACTCATTCTTAATTCATATTTAGTTTCAAATACAATTAAACTATATATAATTATTGTGTTCCTTTTCACCTTTTATATTTTCAATAATTTGACAAATTGGAAGTAATCAATTTGCATTTGAAATCAAATTGTGATAAAAATAAGTGTGTTGAGTAAGGTTCAAACTCTCTTATAATATTGTTTTCAGAAATAGTATATTAGCACTGCTCTGCAGTGTCTTATAAAATGAGTGATGTTACTGAAGAATTTTCATGTCCAATATTACAAGAAGCATAAAAAACTTCAGGGTTTATTTCAGCCATATTTACAGTTTTAAATGTCTACATTCTTGGGGCACATATCATAGTTGAGCAGTCCAGTGTGGCTTGGCTAAACATTTCAAAATTATATATTGACATTCTTCCTGGCAACTCCGTATAGGAAATTCTCGGTTGCATGCACAACCTGCAACAGCTTTTCTTTCTGCCATTCCAAATTGTGAATGAGTTAATTGCTTTTCTATCATCCTAAGCTGTGCCTTTTGGAAAACTGTCCATTTTATTTTTACATTGTACCCTTGAAGCTATTTTTCCCATCAGTAATTTTGCTACTAAATGGATAAGCAAGTAACATACATCATTTTCCTGCTAATTCATTCTGTATTCCAGTAAGCCCATCATGCTAATGGAGTGAAAAATATTGCATGATGATGCAAAACAAAAGTTCTGAGCAGTGGTGATACTTAAAAAATGTGTTGTTACAGTTGTATGTTTTACTTGTAAGATCCATTGCATTCATGGGAATGAATGGATTTTTCCTTTCATAATTAGAGGCCTTTACACATGCAGGCCTCAAAACTAAAAATGATTACACTTGTAATTTTATACACAGTGTCAGACTAAGCAGTAGGAGATGTAAATACATCTACAGCTGATTATAGGTGACTAACTTCAGACGTTTCAGGGAGATGCTTGGTAGCCTTCTTGTAGTCCATCTAATTAAATTGCCCCTTTTTAAATACTAAAAATAGATCCAGTAGGGAAGAGGAGAACTCAGACTTCGAAAAGACATTTAAAAAATCCCCAACCTTTCAACAAGCTTTAGAATAAGCATGTACTTGGCTTCTTTTACATCAGTCTGCCCATCAGAATCTCCTTCTCATGGTGCCACATCTTACATTGCATTCTGAAGAGCTTCTATGTTTCAGGAAGGTGCCAAAGAATGAAAGCAATGTTCTGGTTATGGCCTCAACAATGACCAAAAAACTGGCTACGCTCTCCAGGTCGTTAACAGACTATGTTGACACACATCTGCAATTTGCTTGAAAACTTAAGTTATTTAGCAATGTAGCAATACAATGGCAGCATCAAGAAACAGTTTTTTCTTCCATTTTAATTACCACCAGAGGGCACATTGACAGATGTTATCTTCCTCTGGCATCTCTTCTAAACTTCGGTAGTAGTGCATGTTATATATAACACTGTCTAACTTTAATTTCCAGTGCTCATCCCACATTTAAGTGCCCCCTGTGCCAGGAAACCAACTTTACAAGGCAACGCTTACTGGATCATTGTAACAATAGACATGTTCATCAGATATGTCCGGTAGTAAGTAGACTACATTTTCATTAAAAAATGTTTCTGTCTCAGCCATACCTTTTCTTGCTTCTCTTCAGTCATAAGGCAGTTGAGTGTTTTTCTTTTGTTGAATGTAAACTGTTTCTTCTTTTGAGTATGATGTTTTGTTTTCTGGTTCATTATCTTAAGTTGTTGTTTCTTGTAAATGCGCTGTCAATTTAAAAATACCATTTCTGTCTTGTAATTTACTGTTACAGTAAATGAAACCTAAAATTACCAAAATTAAAAGATTATAGGTAAAATGTTCTCTATTTTTCATTTTACTTTTGTATAGCTGTTTTAGTCTTGTGAGACAGCTACAAACTCCAGCATAGGCGAAAAGGAAAATCTATTAATAAAAACAGCAAATTGTTATTTAAACCACAGAATTGGATAAGGAGAGTTATGTTTAATAGTGGTCACCAACTACTTGTAAGCTTTTTAATAAAATCGACTAAACTTCAAGTTGCAGAGACATAATTAGCTGTGTTAGTCTGAGGTCAGGTAGAAGGCCTAGGGTACAGGGGAGGCTGTAGTCCCTTAGCAGAGGTTGAAGTTGACCTAGCAGATGAAATTGCAGGAGGTTGTGGCAGAGTAGTCAGAGGCAGAAGCTGCTTTAAATCAGTTGAAGCTCGCTAGGAACTGCGTTCTTGAATTCAAGGTGCAGGGTAAGAACGGGTTATTCTGATACTTACAGGTATGTTTATATTTCTGTATCTCAATTTTTGGTTAATAATTTCTTATACTCGTTCTTGTTTTCATAATAAACCTTTTTATTATCTTTTACCCACTTAATGACAATATTAACTGTAAGTTGACACTCTCTTACCTTGGTTATTTCTGGAAAACTGTAAATACTGTAACAATCAAAATAATGTGATTTATGTAAAAATCTCTAGTAATTCACTTCTAAGTATCAAAATAAGATTTTACATTAAGCATCACTGTATTGCTTATTTTACTTCTGCATTTCTTTTTCATATTTAGGTCTGTCCTATTTGTCTCTCTCTTCCTTGGGAAGTTTCTAACCAGGTTACTAGAAATTTTGTTGACCATCTAAATGTATGGCACCGGTTTGACTACGGAGAATTTATGGTAAGCACCCCCCCCCCCCCCCCCAAAAAAAAATCTACTGAGGAATGAAAGTTACTAAATTAGAACAGTTCTCAGACTAAGTTTGTTTTTGTGGCCAGAGTCCACAGAAAACTTGGTTAGCCGATGTGAAAACTGCTACCTACTCAGATGTAGTTCTGCCCATTCTCAAATGTGTCTCTGGTATGAACTATAAATGCTATTGACAAGTGATTGTTGGCAACAGATTCAGCTAGTTCATACTTGTATTCTTATGCTCACCATTGTTTTTGTCCTTACACAGTTCCTTAAGACACTTCTTTTTTGAACAGAAGCAATCACAGAACCCACCCATATGCTTCACTTTGTAGTGTTTATTGTTTTGATGAATGAGTTAACTGCAATCAGAATATGGGAATGTGGTCTGAAGAGTTGTGTGTTGTCTGACTGAAAGCCCTATCAGAAGAATTACATGACACTGATCACTTGCTCATTGATTATTCCACAGTCAAACTGAGCTAGGGTGAGGAGATGGATTAGACTCACAAGGCTGCAGAGTTCTGTTCCTCTGCTGTTTCCTCTTGTCCTCTGGTTCCTTCTTCTATCTGGTTAAGACATACAATTAACCAGCCTTGCTGAGTGTATTTCAACAAGAGTGTCTTCACCTAAGTGCTATTCACTGTACTATACGTAGGAAACAAGCAATAAAGATATAGTAAAAAAACAGGATGGAAAGAAACAGATTGTAATGTTTTTATCGTGTTTAGAATCTTCAGCTCGACGAAGAAACCCAGTTCCAAAATGCAGTTGAAGAATCTTGTCACGTGAACTTCTGAAATGGAGAACCTCTGCATTTTAAAGGTGGTGTGAGGAAGAAAAAACTACATGAATTCTCTTTCAGTAATTTCAAATGAATATAAATAAAGGGAATTCAGTACCCAGTTTTTTCAGGTTTAATTTCTTTCCAAGACTAAAGATTTTTTTTTAGAATGGCTTTTGCTTAAATATAAAAGTAGAGTAAACTTGATTATATTTCACAGAATCATAGAAAATTAGGATGGAAGAGACTTCAAAAGGAGGTCATCTAATCCAACCCTCTCATGCTCAAGGCACGATCAATCTCAATCTTGTGGATTTTTTTTTAATAGAATGTAACTGATAATCTCTCTGTTGTAAAGGTGCCAAGTCATTTTACTGGGATCTTTCCTTTTTAAATTGGGGCATTTCTAGGGCTCTACACTGATGTTTTGACTTCTCTTTAATTGTTCACTGCTCTTTGTTGATACAGACTTATTTTTTATGAATACCACATTTTATAACTGACTAGTGGGCAACTCTGAAAAGTAAATATTTGAAAAACAATGCAAAGATGCTCTATTTTGCTGCTGCTCTTAACATCTTCTGCAAAATTATATCGATTGAATTCATTTTTTGAAGATGAAATTGAATGGTTTCTTTATTGTTACCTCTAAAAACAAAAATGAAAATGGCTGAAGTGGGAAACAGCTTGTTTGAATCAGCAGCAATGCAGAGGTGGTTTGTTCTACTTGTATCATTAAGAAAGAATAATACCAGAGCCTGGGGGATATTGCTTCTATTTTGTTATTTCTCTGGAGCATAACCAAGGTAGGATGTCTTGTTTCTTGGAGTGGTGGGCTCTGAGCATTTTCCATTCCCTCAACAGATAAGGAAGTGCTTTTATGTCACTTGCCTTTGTACATTCTGAACAATTAAAGATGCCAATACACAAAAGATGCTGTCTTTAGCATATGAAAAAGGCTAAATTGTTTTTGTCTTTAGAAATATTTTTATTAGAAATTCAGGTCTTATCTATCCTGTTTTTAATGAAAGACTGAACTAATAAACTGGTAGTTTTGAGACATAGCCAGTATAAAGATACCAGTATTTTTTTTCCAAACTGCATCATCTATAACATTTACAGGCTTAACCATTAACAGTTAAAAGGAAAAATCCTGCTAAGAAGAGTCACTACTTGCATATCCTAAGGGTTGAGAGTCCATTGTAGTTCTCCACTCTCCCAAGGTCTCTAACAAATTAAAGACAGACAAGAATTCATATTCCTGTAGTTTTCAGATAAAAATAAAACTTTCAGGCCTTCTTTATATGCCATAAAACACATTGTGTTCTTTTATATGTCTCTTTAAGAAATGGTTTAGACTTAGAGAATTTCTAGGACTGGAAAAGTAGGATGTTTCCAAATGCACACTCATTTGGGGCTTTCTTGACTTCTCTTTTCACAACAATGTCCTTCACTGCTACTGTTCATGGGTATTGTGTACACCAAAAAGAGCATATCCAATAATATTCCTAGTGATCTAGCTATAATTGTAATAACTATGCACTGAAACTACAATAGCATTCTGTTGTTTAACTCCAATTTGTGCCTTTGAAAACCTTCTCCTAACATATAAGCAATGCTATTTCTAAACAAACAAAAAATCTGCAGAATGTGACTTCTTATATTTTTCATATTCCAAAAAGATATCAGACCGTACAGCAGGTTCATTTGTTATGTATATTAGAACTCTTAACACCACACATGCTCTATTCATTTGATATTGTTTTAGCCTTTAATTATAAACAGTGTAGCCAGTAGTATGAGAGTAGCAAATATCACTATTGGAGGTTTAAATTGCCAAAAATTCAGGGAAATAGACTACTTCACAAGTTACCTAAGTCCTGTTACACTGTCTTAAAAATAAGAGGGGAAAACAAACTGCATTGTAGTCTGCTGCTAATATTCATAATTTATTTAAAAACTGAGTCTATGCGAATTTTTCCTATTCTATAATTTAATAGTGATATTTAGAAGTTTAGTTCCAAGATTTTTAGATTCAGTATATATGCAGGAAATGGAACTAAATGCCTAAACATAATACAGTGTGTTCTGAAATCAGTATTTGACTGACACTGACTGGTTACTTCAGCTGCCTGAACACGTCTTTAGATTTGTAGTTGAAATTGCTTCTATTTTAAATATTTACTCTGGGAAACAAAAGTCTGTGCACTGTTATAGCAATAATTAGTTGTCATTTAACATGGTTTTTGGAATAACATTTTAGAATTCTTTAAACATTGTAAGACTTGACTTCCTGCAATTTAAAAGTAATAATTTTTCAGTATGTTGCAAAGAATTTAATCTTGAAACCATAGTTTTAAATTACTGCATCCCCTCGTGTGTTTTAAATACAAACAAAACTTTTAATGCCTAGGATGACAACTTCTCTTTGCTTGTAGATGTTAAACTCTGTATTGGCAAAGTTTGTCTTTGAAAGCCTTATATTTTTGCTATGATGAGACAGACTCTAAGTACATTTTTTGGATAACTAATAAATGATAAGGAACTAATCTGGTTGGATATGATGCTGCTGTTGTGACTCTCCCACTCTGAAACTCAGACACACGCAAAAGGGGGCTGTATAATAGTAGTGGTTTATATTTGTTCTTAAATAAAATGTGCAGATTTTACTGGAAGTGTGTTGTTGAGAAACTTTTTCTTGTTAACATTCCATTGTACTCCTGTTGAATATGGTGTATTATGTGTTAATTGTACCTTCTGGTTTTCCCCCCCCAATAAAACGGTTTATTTTCAGTTTGTATCTGTTTTCCAATAATGAATATCTAGGTCTACAGCTGGGCCCTAAAACCAGTCAACTTCACCCCACTTCTTGCTTTTGAATTGAGTTCATGCATGCCATACTTCTCATGCTACTGCAGTTTTAAATGACTAAATCTAACGTGTTCCTTGCTAATAACCAGACCTATGCACTATGTTCTGAGCTGTTAACAATTAAAATAGTGCCAGAGGCCTCACAATCTTCATTCAGAATGAGGCTAGAAGCCCAAGGTGATAGGTTTGCACAGTTCAGAAATGCATATGTTTCTCATCTCTGCATAGAGAGCTGTCAGCTGTGTTTCAGGAGAAACTGCTAAAAAAAATTGAGCGAATGGATGCCCTGCCACCAGTAAGCAAGGAAATTTGGTTATTAGGAGTAAGCAACATATTAAAGGGGATGATTTATGGAGAACTTAAGGCAGGCTGTATTAACGGACCTTTCCCTTCTCACTGAGACTGCTCTCTTCAATATTCTGGATCTAGGAAAAAAATGCTTTGGGTTATCCCTTCTCACAACCTACATCACTTCTAATTTGTAGGTATACAATACCAAATATTCACTTTCATAGATGTTTTTGATTCTGAATTCCCTTTGTCTCTGCTACGTATATTGCTCAAGCAAAACTTAGTTAGCTTGCAAAAAGATTTAGTTATGAAATTAAGGATAATGTATAAGTATACAGCTGTTTAAAAATAGAATTGTTATTCAAAGTCCACTTACCATAAAGTTGCCAAAGATTTTCCCCCCCTCCTCTTAGGAAAACCAAATTTGCTCTGTGAAATTGTAGCTCTTCCCACCTGCCCACCAAGGATAAACTCTTGTAAAATGAAACCTTGCCATAAAATAGTGGTTAGAAGGTTTGTTCCATGGTTTTCCATTTTGTTATAATTTGTTTGTATTCCATATTACTTGGATTCAATAAAGCAATGAAGCATGTGCTTAATTCTCAATGAAATCAGTATGACTTAACCATATTTACTCAAGCTCAAGACAAGCTATTTTCTCTATTTAACATAGGAGGAAAGGCCCCTTGTCTTAGAATTAAGTATGAGGGTATGAGTTTCTGCTGCTCCAGCCCTGACCCCTGAGTCAGGACCAGAGTTTCAGCTGCTGCCTGCTCCCCACTTTCCCCCAACATTACCCCTGCCTTTCCTCCCTACAGCCTTGGGCCCCTGTCTCTCCTTCTCAAGACAAGCTATTTTCTCTATTTAACATAGGAGGAAAGGCCCCTTGTCTTAGAATTAAGTATGAGGGTATGAGTTTCTGCTGCTCCAGCCCTGACCCCTGAGTCAGGACCAGAGTTTCAGCTGCTGCCTGCTCCCCACTTTCCCCCAACATTACCCCTGCCTTTCCTCCCTACAGCCTTGGGCCCCTGTCTCTCCATTCCTCCCATCTCCCCACCCCACCCTCTTCCCAGCACTTACCCTTTGCTCTATTGCCAGCAGGCTTTGTCCCCACTACAGTCTGAAACAGAAAACAGCCCCAGCCCAGCTCCTTAGCAGTGGTGCTGGCTCTGCATTGCTACTATGGAGCCAGGTTGGGGTTCCTGCCCCAGACTAAAGAGGAGTTGGATCCTGCCAGCACTGGAGCAAGGGTTAGTGGTGGGGGACAGGTGGTGGGCACAAGGTGATGTAAATTGGGGGGGGGCAGACAAAGGGGGGGGGCTGCCTGCCTCTGCACCCCTATCCCCTACCTCCTGCCCCCTTTATGTCTCCCTCACCATCTGCTCCCCCTCTCCCTGGCACCTGTCCCCCCACAGCTTTCTGAGATGCAGTTATGACTCACAAATTTAAGATCCTCCAATAAGAGAAATGCATGCAAAATTATAATATAAATGTTACATGTATAAAATCTAATTACTGCTGGGGATGTCTTAAATTCAGGGGTGTCTTGGATTTGGGTAAATACAGTCGTATATGAATAAGTACTTTGCTTCTTGGGAGCCCAAGAAGGGTGGCTGTGCCTTAAGGAAACAATCCTTTGGGCACAAAGCAAGATGATCCCCATGCAGGGTAAAAGACGGAAAGGGGCCAGGAGGCTTCCCTGGCTGACCGCAGAAATCCAGGGCAGCCTAAGGGCCAAAAGGGGAGCACATAAAAAGTGGAA